CCTCTAGCGAATGATGATGGATACCACCCCCCTCTCTAGCTGGTGATAATGGATAGCACCCCACCCTCACGGCTGACGATGGATACCACCCCCCTCCAGCAAATGGTGATGGACACCACCCCGAGATTGCGACAGAAGGAGGTACTGGATAGAGAGACCGGGATGGTTTTTAATGTGAAGACAACAACAACAACAACAACAACAACAACCCCCCCTCTAGTGAATGATGATGGATACCACCCTCCTCTCTAGCTGGACCGCCCCCCGCTCTTCTGTAACAGACGCACGAGCCTACTGCAGGTACTTTTGTGCAACCACCACAAAAAACTATTCCACCTCCCGATCTAGTAGTATTCATCTCTTCTCTTTCTGTGCCGCTCATCAGCGCTCCGGTGTAGTAGTGGGTAGTCTCGACGCAGTTTAAGGAGCCCGTACGCGCACCGTTACTGCTAGGAACGTTGGTGAATATCTTTGGTTTTTACGTCAATGCTCACCCCTCAGGCGATGATTTGATATATGAAACTTATTAACCTCCCCTCGCAAACGGACCTCACGCCTTCTCCAAGGGTTTCCGATGGTCGTGAAAATTCGTTTTCTCCTACAGTAGAACTCTTACCGAACCCCTAGACAAGTGAGGGAAGAAGGTACTGGTTAGAGGCCGCACCAACCCCCTGGGTGCTACGCAGCTCCGCATGAAGACCCAACACTGTAGAACTATGCGCGTTTTTTCACACATCCGTCAAGAGAAATCGTGTCATCGTCCGTCCCTAGAGTACTGCGGCAACGCGTAGTAGCCCCTCGTCGAGTCTTACCCTCTTATCCCTTCTTGCGGCGAAGGGGCTTTCCGCGAAGGCCAAGGGCGGTGGTGATAGCGAGAAGGAGGAGACGGAGCCCGTGCTAGAGCCTGGGGGACTTAGGCTGGTGTGTCAAACCTGTCCGAGAGAAGGTAATTTGAATCGGGCAGTTAGGCAGGCGAAGAGGAATGAGTTCTTGGGTTTGATGGAACGCCTCATGGCGTCGGAAATACTGTTGGAACACACGTTGTTTGTGTGCCCCCCCTGGCCCTCGTTTGGACTACTCTTCAAGAGTCGTACAGAACACCCCAGTGTGTGAGGTTTCTCTGTAAGGAGTAGGAACAGTGGTTCGCTTCTTGCGAGACGCATATTCGAGATTAACGGCGAAACAACTGAGGAAAGCCGCAAATGAGTGTGTGCCCTCTTTCCTCTTCCAAAAGGATGCGAGGCAGGAACTTTCATTTTCGGGTCATCAATTGGGTGGTGTGGAGTAACGACGCGTAGGATATTGTTTTTGCAAAGACAGATGCACAACCGCAACAACAGCGAGCGTCGTTCGCCCCCTGCTGCAACAGCGCAGGGCACCTACATCGCATAGCCCACACCTATCCCCTCGTGTCCACAGATGTTTATCTGAACGCCGAGTGCCCGGACGAGAGAGCAGCGATGCGTTCAACGACGACCTTCCCTCGAAGACACCCTTCGTTCAGTTTTTTTTTCTTCAGTTTCACTGCGCATCAAAACTCGAGTTCCGTCTGCTTCGGGGAAGAAAAGCCGTCGAATTCCAAAATCATCCAAGCACAGCAGGACCTTCTCAGTCGTGAATTATGACATGAGTACGCCCCTTGTGCCCTTCTCAACAATATGTACTATACGTGGGCCACGAAATCATGGTTCAGGCCCTGCGGCCGCCGCCCGTGCGTACTTGGAGGCACCTCCACCCAGGGTAGTGCTGTGCGCCAACCGGCTTGGCTCCCTACGAGAAGTGGAGGAGGCGGTCGTGCATGAGCTGGTTCACGCGTATGACTACCTTGTGGCCGGCGTTGAGCTGCTTGATTGTCAGTCGTTGGCCTTCAGGTACGTTGTTGTTGTTGTTGTTGTTGTTGTTGTTGTTGTTGTTGTTGTTGTTGTTGTTGTGTTGTTGTTGTTGTTGTTACTGCTGGTGTTTGTGGATCGGTTTTAGGCATAACAGTACCCATCAATGCGCATCTGAGTGTTGTTCTTGACTCTTTTGAGTTGAGCAAGTAACCAGGAGCATAATGTCTACGGCATCCAGACAAGAGAAACATCGCGTCCTTCGTTTTCGTTCTATTCAATCGAGGTCCTACCACACGGTGGCGCAACACAACCAGAATCGTCTCTTCCGTGTGGCTAGCGGGTATCGTAGCTATAGCCAACTTATGTCGGGATGACGAATTGGGTCAGACGAACACACCGTATTGGGCGCGCAGACCAAATGGCCGTCCCTCTGAAGATCGAGAGCCCACGACCGACGACATCACGACTGCACCATGAAGGAAGCGGCCGCAATGCGAAGGCTTGAGCGGTCATGCGAACAAGGCACAAGCAGCTTCAAATTGTTTTCGATGCTGTACGTGTAAATTTTGGGCCCCTCGTCGCTGTTTCATTCTTTTTGCCACATTTAAGCGAGGTTCGAGCGGCCCGAGCCGCTGAATGCTCCAAGACTTCCCGGTCGTTCGTGTGCAGCTACTTCAGAAAGAACTGCGTTCGGTCTACGGCAGTACGGAGCACTGAGGTTTGAAACAAGTGCACCTATCATCACCGCCTAATACGTTGATAGGGCAGTGTGGTCGCCTACCAGACTGCTGGCGTTTTCCATCTCCTTGTATGTTGTCTTCTGTATTGACGTCCCATCCCCGGAAGAAGCACCTGTGGAATTGGCACGTTTCTGTCCAAGATGCCCTGACCGCTCCAACCAGCTTATAGCTATTGCCTTTTCGATGTTGATGCTTGAGCTGTATCAGATGAGGATCCCTGAGCTGCAACCTGTGCCTCCTATCGACAAACGTCAATCCCGTTACTGCTTCTTGCTTCGACGATTGCGCTACCGCCGGTTGTTTCGGCATTTCGTTAGATGTACGAGCGATCGCACACCCCTGGACCAACTTTCCTACCTACATTGCGCCTCAACCGAAATGTTGCCAATACCGAACGGGGTAGTCAGTCGGTTTCACACCCTCTTGTTTCTCGACGAATCGAGCTTTTATATTTTTCGTGCGATCACCCGTACTATTACGGCATACCAAGTGCAAGGCCTCGGTACATGTATGTGAGCGGCACGTTCTCCGGATCTACATATCAACTGCTTGCGTCGTGGTCCCCACCCAATCAACCCACGGGAAGACCCGACCACGGTCCCCATCAATCATGTCGATGGATTCATCTATGTAAACCGGTCGGCCCGAATTCCTCGTATCGGCCGATCAGACCATAGAGCGCATCGTCCATTCCAGGACCCCGTATTGACCGTTCGAACCAATTAAATGTTCATTTCCAGGGCCTTTTTCCCGGGAAAGGAGCCGACTGTGTCGACGCCGTGTTCAACGCAGCATACCAAGATCAACGACCGCATGACGATGGTGGTCGATGACGATCACTTAAATCTTCGTGATGTGTACACAATTCACTATCGCCACGAGTTGCCGACAGCTCCAGCAAATTGAGCGCTTGAGCTCATCAATACCAGGCGCAGCACAACGGTGGCCATCGATGGCGGAAAAAACGTTCTTGTGACGACGTGAGAACGTTCGTTACTGGGCATCGTCATTGTTCTCGGCAGTAGCGGCACCACCAGCAGCGCCCAGACAAGGAGAACGGCATGGTTATCGAAAGCACCACGAGTATGGCCGACGCACGGCTGCACGGCCAAGAGCTCGTCAACCTCGCCACAGCGATCAAATCAGCGCCGCGTGATCAAAGGCTGGCGGAGACCAAGAGCCACATGATGATTCCGAAAGCGACATCAACAAAGTGCTGCGTACCGTTTAGAGACCAACACGACACGAAGAGGGTGATGCAGAACCTGTGAAACGAACGGGTACCTCACGGAGAAGGGAACACTGCGCTCGCTGTTGGTTCCGCGAGGAGTAAGGGATTAACCCTGCATCGTGCGGAGCAAGGGTACCCCACGAGAAGACCGGACCGGTATCGTCGCGATGGTCGATCGCACTACTTGGCACGAATCGCTCACGCACGCCAGAATGGAGCACCAGCTCGATTTTAAAGAGCCAAGTTGATGTATGGCCGTCCGGCGGCAGACAAGGAAGGGGTCCGTCCTTCCTTCCCCACATCTTGTGGGCAGAAGAAGTTTGCCGTCAGTAGACCTGCACGCCAATTGCCATGGTGCCGTCAATTGGTTGGACACCAATGGATTCAGCCAAAGATTCAACTGGTACACTCGCTTGTTTTTCGGGCGCTTTCTTGCACAGCAAACGCGTAATTCACGTGGAACAACCCCTCCCGTACAAGCACTTCGAGCTCAGTTGGGTTCTCGAGAACGCGTACCTGGTAGACCGACTGTCGTCAAGTCTGACAAGAGCGTCTATCGTATTCGGTCAAGTGGAAAGCACGAGCCGAGAAAGTATTGAGGCCTCGACCAATTAACTCCATTCAAAGACTCTCCGAAATTTGTCTCGACTTGTTCCACCAGCAGCAGCAGAGACCAAAGAGATAGCAGCTTTTCCATCAAATACAGTCTCTAGCAGCAGCCGTCTTCTCTCGCAGTCGAGTAGAAACGGCCCGAATTAACGCGGCACAATGTACCCAACCAGGCTTAAGATGTTCAAAGGGCATCGACAAACACGTCTTCGGAACATCAGCACTGAACCTTGAGACAAAGGCGTGCCCGCCAGGAAACCAAACGCTCGCCTCTACCGGGTTGGAACGAAGCTCCACAATGCTCGACATGAATCCCCTCTCCAACACCAGAGGGTAAAATATCCAAACGGCATCAATGGGAGTCTGTGAAAATACCGGGGTCTACACACGTTCTCGCACAATGTGAATCACAGGAGACATGCGACGGGCCGATGGAATCTTCGCCATCCTCATCCTCCGCGGGATATCGTATACATCACGTTCCGGCGCTCCTCCAACCGCCTTGCTAGAGAACGGTAGTTGCGGACCTTTCCGCTAAGGCATTGATCCAGATGACGTCACCGTGGCATCGGATGGGGATGACGTCGTCATTATTCTCAAGCTGTTCCAGGTAGTGGCAGGTTGCCCCTCCCTCCCTCTGGTATCTACGGCGGCAATAGCGCGGCATCCGATGGCATCCCCAACCTCCGGCCGACGTCGGCAGTATCCTGTAGCATCGTCTTGGAGGTCTCCTCTAGCCAGGTCAGAGAATGGTGGTGCGCGTTGAGGATGCGGACGATCTTGCGCGCGTTGCTGTCGCCCCCGGCGTCCCCCCTCCCACCGACTGCGCCGATGGACGACGAGGAGGTGGAAGAGTTTACCTGGTCTACCAGAGACTTGAGAGTATCCACCATCCCCGCGAGTTGCATGTCCACAGTCTGCGTCCAGCGGGGAACGAGTATCGGCGAAAAACCAACATAAAAACGTGGGATGCAAGGGAACGAACGTGGGAGAGAAACGGGGGCCGATCCGAGGAAACGAAACGAAGCCGAGGGGGAGGGGCAAGTGTGTGTGCGATTTGAAGAAAGATGGGGGACAAAGGGAGGGAGCATGTGCGACTGTCCTATAGCCGCCAACAGTACGCTCGCTCAAAGCACACGCCAGGTGGATGGAACTATTGGCTCCACGTGTTGCGTTTGCGCAACACAAAGCACACAGCACCGGATAAAGTTTTCGGAAATTGGGAACAATACACGCAGGCGTAGATAATAGTCGCGGATGCCTATCGACAACGGCGGGTTGGTGGGGATGCCGTATGCCCTATGTGGATACGAAAGCTGTGAGTGCAACGAAAACTCCATCGGTACCGATATTTCAGCGTTTTTTTTTATCTAAACCGTGACAGGCATAAGGCGTGGTATGCTGCACGTATTCTGCGGGATACAGTGCGTGGTCCGACTTGTGCTGTTAATGAAGGTCTGGCCCTCCTCGCTCCACATGACCCGTGTCCCTGTCCTCCTCCTCCACGGACAACAAGTTCCACGTCTCTCAGATAATGTGGTTGACCGCTCTCCTATTGGTGACATCCATGGTCCAGCACACCCAGCAGAGAACAGGGCCCCTCTATTGTTAACCACAATGGGAACAATTGCAACTTTAGTCCATGCCGCGAATACGGGTGTATGCAACAACAGGGACTGCAATCACGGACGTACCTGCGCGATCTGGAAGGCCTGCTCTCGCTCCACGTCTCCCTCCTCTGGCGACTGCCCGCGCTGATCGCGCATCAATTTCTCCGCCTGATCCAGCGGGTACATCGCGACATGCATGGGTATAAAAAAATAGCCCTGAATATTGTCGCGGTGCCGACTGCCTCAAAATCTACTGTGGTCACACCAACAAAGAGCTCGTGTGTCTGGCGCAAGTGGCTTCGTCGGGGTAAGTTCACCATCTGCTCAGGCGTTGTAAACTGAAAGCAATAACCAGGAAAACAACCGGATTTCGTCCCCAGCGGACGAACAATTCAACCACCCACCTGCCCCTCAAGCTGATCCAGCGTTTTGTCTAGGTGAGACTGCTCCCCCTCAATGGCCTTCATGCTGCGCGCCAGGTCCTGCAACAGCCACGTCGAACAGCATTCAAGAGTAACCGAATTGCCTCAAAAAGTGTATACATCAACACTAGTACAAGCAAGACCAGAGAGTAGATGACAGGTTGTATTCACACCGCCCGCATGCGTGCACCCAAGGGGGCGTTCGTTTCTTTACCTGCTGTCCCAGCACGAGTTTCTGCACGTCATCCGCGAGGCTGAACAGCTCCGACTGCGTCTCTCGCAGGACCACGTCCCAATCTGACACCTAGACATACATCCAAGGCCAGCACCACAACAGCGCATAAAACAAGCAGTTGTGTCAGTTAGAGGAACGCAATCGACCTACACAAGCGAAACGAAATACATCGCCTTTCCGTTTCAGGCACAGCATCACACACCAAAAGCACCGCCAATCATAAGCACAACAATACCCTAAGTACAAGGGTCACTAGAACGTTTCTCACCGCATAGAATAAGATGCCGCATTGGTCCATTGAGACCAAATCATCGAATGGCAACAGCGTATTGAATGCACGATGTGCGAGAATAACAGCAGTATCTCTTTCGACCGCCTCTATCCCGGCCACCATAGCGGGCTTTCCCCTGAGCAAGTGCTGCATGTGAGTGGCAATCACCCTTGGAGCGAGACTCCGGACTTGTCTCGCTGCTTATCGGCCCCGCGTGGGCCTCCGGACCGACAGCGTTACTTCCTGGGTACCATGAACAACTTTATTGTGAGAAATACCACGTGATACGAAGTGGAACACAAATCATCAAGGCAAGAGAGGAAAGGCCGTGGTGTTCTCGAACCACCGTGATTCACATTACCCTCCCCCCCCCAGCCCCCCCCCGGTGTTTGCCATCGGGGTTGGGTTTTCGTCGCTTGGCAAGGACGTTGTAAAACAAGCCAATTCGCTTCGTAAGCTCGGCAACCAGGTCACCGTTTGTTTTTTTTTACCTCTTGTTTTCTTTTTTGGCGGTAACCATCATGGTGGTCGAGTAGATCATGTTGTGCGGGGTCGAGAACCATCACTCCGCGCAAGGGGAATGATCGCACCACGTTGCGTAAAATTCGTCAAGCACCCTTGAGGCAGTTACACAGTGCTTATAACTGTCTCTGGAAGTGAAAGGATCAGGAAATTAACTAAGTCATACGCAGCTGTCATCCGTACGCAAGGAAGTAAGCACAAGATGCCGAACNTCCCCCGCCGCCCCCGAATCCCCCCCCACCCCCGAATGCCGAAGCTGCTCCACGCCCCGCGCCCGGGAGCGACCCTCCGCGCCCTCCCGACCCCATGAAGGATCCGCGACCCCCCCCCCCCCCCCCTGCCCCCCCCGCCCCCCCAAAGCGACGATGGGTTGAGCCTATCAAAAACTGCAGTAAGAAACAACCCACACTTGTCCAAGTCGTTGTGTCGTTATTCAACACTTGACATACTTCAACTGTTCTGTTCTATGCTTAGCACCTTTCAACATCCGTACAGGTCCAACTGAGGGTTAGGGATAGGGTAAAGGTTGGGGGTAGAAATACTGACCATTTGATAAATTGACACGGACGTGGTGGGGACTTTCCTTGTCGCCCGTACATCGACACACTAGCCAACGCATACAGCACAGCCGGGGCAACCAATACTCGAGAACCGCTGAACTATTAGGCATACCAGGTACAGACCCAGCGTTACAACATAAAACAGCACCTTGGATTTAATTCGAGGCTACAAAAACACTTGAAATTTGGCGAAGGCAATGCGTTTGAACGTCGTCTCGGGTAGGAAAAACAAGCCACCTTTACAGCCTCGTTGGTAAACGTTGTGGCATCCTGGTCCAGCTCCACATTCCAGCTGTTGACAATCTCTTCCACCGTCATGGTCCTGTGAGCGTGCGTGATGTCATTGTCCCCGAAGCAAACACGAACAAAAGCGAAGCGTGCGAACGCGCCCACGATGAGAAAACACACCCTGCTAACTCTGCACTACCAAAATCTAAGTGGAGGCACCAGACATCACGGGTTGGGCTTACAAGTCGAAACGTCGACGTGACACACCGCACATAGCAAGGACAAGATCGCGCTTCATTGTTTCATTTTGAACCCTTCATCAAAACCAAAAGCGGGTCCGCAATAACGCAAGACCGAGAAACAAACATGGTCAACAAGAACCAACGATTCTCACATGTACTGCTCGGGAGGCTGCTCCTGTTCCGTCGTCCCAGCTCCACCAGCGGCCGCAAGTGTCAACGTACCTGCCGCCGCCGAACCGCTTGCAGCTTCATTCCCGTCTTTGGCAGCCCCGGTAGCCCCCGTCCCGGCAGTGCTCCCTGCGGCTCCCCCAAATAAATCACCCCCGGCGGCGGGAGCAGTAGCTGTTGCCGTCGTGGATGCCGTCGCAGCAGCTGGGGCCGGTGCCGCGGCTCCGAACGAGAACCCCCCAGAGGCAGCGGCGGGGGCTGCGGCCGCTGTTGGGGCTTTGGCCCCGAAGCTGGTTGTAATTAAAACGGAGGCACGCGCGGTATACGGAATGAGGTGCTGAGGCTATATACTTGCCTGTTGCAACATAACAGCACACAGGGCGACCGCGCCATCAACACCAATTGTGCGCTAACATAGGAGGCCCCTTTGAAAGGAACGGAACGGTTCTACGGACGGTGCCTCGTCGTCTCCGAATGGTTAGTATACAAATCCCAGACGAGGCGAAGCGCAAACAATTTTCCAAGCCCTCTTCCCCCTCAACGAAGGGAACGAAGGTATCACTCCAAACCCTCCCGAGATGATCGAGAAACTGCTACTGTTTGGTGGGCAACGGGGAAAGACGTCTCTACAGACATGGGCGATGGTAGCGGCCATCCCTGCAACAGGCCTTTCTTTACGGGTGCCGGGCAAAATCACGCACCATTTGACCATGAGAACGACGACAACTTGTGTGCAAAATAAACGGACGGCGCTACGACCGGTGCGTCATGGTCCAATGAAGAGGTCTGCGGCTGTGTGCTCGGCGTGCTGCAGGCCCACGCCCCTACTTCCACGCACCCATCTAAACGAGGCCTCGAACGAACGAGGCCTTCGGATCATACCTACCAATCCAAGCCTTGATAATGTTTGCGCCCATTCACACCGGCACGGATACCACCACAGCAGGTTTTATCGTGCAAGCGGAGCGAAAACGGGGCGGGCTGGAGGAACGCCTCTCGAAGATCTTTTTCACCGTAAAGCGCGTCATTCTCTCAACCGCAACCTTTCAATCTTACCTGAACCCGCCTGCAGCGGCAGGCGCAGGCGCGGCAGCAGCAGGAGTTGCGGCCGCCGTGGTTCTGGTTGCTGTGGCCGGCGCAGGGGCAGCGGTGGTTGCTGCTGCGGCGGCGGGGGCAGGGGTCGCCGCCGCCGCGCCGAACGAAAACTTACTTGCGTGCGCCGGAGCACTTGCGGTGGCTGCGGTGGTTGATGCTGCGGGGGCAGGGGCCGGCGTCGCCCCTAACGAGAAACCGCCAGAAGGCGCGGGGGCAGTGGTGGCTGCCACTGGTGCCGGCGCGGCAGCAGCAGGCTTCGTTCCGAAAGAAAACCCGCCACCAGCGGGGGCGGGGGCGGCAGCAGGTGTTGCTGATGCCGCGGCAGGAGCAGCGGCCGGTGTCGCTCCAAACGAAAACCCGCCAGCAGGCGCGGGGGCAGTGGCGGCTGCCGCCGGTGCCGGCGCGGCAGCAGCAGGCTTTGTTCCGAAAGAAAACCCCCCACCAGCGGGGGCGGGGGCGGCAGCGGCAGGGGCAGGCGCCGCCCCGAACGAAAACCCACCGCCGGTGGTGGCGGGGGCAGGGGCGGCGGCAGGGGTGCTCGAAAAGGAGAAGGTCGGGGCCGCCGCTGCTGCTGGTGCCGCGGGGGCCGGGGCAGCCGAAGCTCCGAAGCTGAACCCTCCCGTGGCCGGCTTGGCTGCTGCCCCGCCTGTGGAGAAGTTGAACGCCATCGCTCCTTGTCCGACTGCTGTATCGGCACACTCCTTGTTTCGTTAACGATACCCTCTATTCGGCCGCGGTGCTCCGTGCTCGGGGCTGCTCACGCTCGATCGATGTCCCCGTCGGCTGTACCCCCTCTTGGCGCACGTGCTGGCGGCGTTCTGCATTTGGTAGAGCAGGGTGGATCGGAGAGAACGCACGGAGTAATGGTAGTGAGTTACTGCTGTGACCGCCAATAAAAGGATCGAGAGGTGCAGATTGTTGTGTTTTCATGCGCCAACCCTGCTGAGGGGGGGGGGGGGATACTCATAGTCGTGCATGCCGTA